ATTGAAAGAGAAATAAAGAGAGGAAATCCGTCTCGTTATCCAACTGTTCATTCATTCATTCATCTATCCATTCTTTCATTCGCTTATTCGTTCATTCAGGCAACCAGTCATTCAACCCTTACAATTGAACTTGTTTTGCTTATTAATATTATTATTATCATGACTATCATTACTTTTGCTCATTTCTGTTGAAAGTTCTATGCAGCTTGTTCACATAATATATTTACAAAATCTACTGGCGGTCGTCACAAACTCGAGGTTATGTATTCAGTCGTGGTATGTGATGGATCGACGATCTGACAGGTTCATATTGATACTATTGTTTTAAGCCAAAGTTCCTTTAACAGACAAGGTTTTGAGTATCCCACTCGCGGCATTTCTTCACGTATTCGTGTTTCATTTTCCTACCTGCCATTGTTTTATTATCTCTAAATCAAACATAGAGGACACGCTCAATTCATCTGACATAATTTGTGGATGGAAGATAAAGGGTGTAAGATTAAGATAACAAGCTAGTAAATTACGTGACATTTGCAGACTATACCTGAATATTGATTGAATTGTGGTCATCATTCAGTGTACAAGCAAGATCAAACACTGGATGAGTTTGTGGTTCCCCACTAGTCTTCGGAAATTAAAATGACACGTTTTTGTTTAACAAATTGTTCGAATCTACATATTTATGAATGTCCACATCTGAGGTGAGGCACGGAATAAAATGGACAGGTTGGATGCAACTAGACTACTCGAACTTTGAAGATGACCCAGCTCTTCTATCTCATGCCCACCAACAAATGCAGATGAAGACAACTAGTGTAACAACAGCCTCTATATCAGGAGGCCTCAACATACACAAGGGAAAAAGCGACATCTTCAAATACACCACAGAGAACATAAACTTAATCACATTTAATGCAAAAGCTCTAGAATAGGTGTACCATTTCACGTACCTAGGAAGCATCATTGATGGACATGGAGGATCTGATGCAGGCGTAAATGTGAGGATTGGCAAAGCAAGGACAGCATCTCTACAGTTGAACAACATATGGAACTCAAAACAACTGTCTGTGAGCCAACATCAAAGTCAGAATCTTCAATACTAACATCAAGACAGTTCTATTGTACGGAACTGAAACTTCCAGAGCTACCACAATCGTCATCAAAAATGTACAGGTATTTATAAACAATTGTCCACGTAACACACTCAATGTCCATTGGTCGGATAACATCACCAACAGACTACTGTGAGAGAGGACAAACCAAGTTCCAGCTGATGTGGAAATTAAGAAAAGACGATGGAAGTGGATGGGACACGAGACAATCGCTAACTTGGAATTCTGAAGGGAAACAGAAAAGAGGGAGACCAAACAACATATTGCTTCTGGAACTGGAAGCAGACATGTAAAGGATGAATAGCAACTGGAAATAACTAGCAAGGATTGCTATTACGGACGGTCGTGTGTGGCAAAATATCTGATCAATCTTAGTCCTCAAATGATCAACAAAAACTTATACCTGAGAACTCGTTGAACAACTTGGTGACAATCTGGACTCATGGATTAGCATTTATTGGGTTACCGTGTAAGATAGAACACCCGAGGTTCGCGTCACTATGAACAACAATACTGGGATGCAGACACATACAGCCAACGATTATCAAATACAACATAGCGCCCTTCCAGCGTTTGATTGTTTTTCACGTTCAAAATCTACTAAAAGTGACTTCACTGTACAATGTTGATAGGTCTGCGAGTTGAACACATGATACTGACTGCCTGGATGTTTTCCAGATACCTCGAATCTCCTACTCTTTAGCTCCGAACAGTAAGACAAAGGCATGTAGTAAACATAGAGGTTTTACTTTAAGGTTCATCAATATGTGTGTATATTGATAACGTAACTGAAGCCAGAACGAACATGGATGCAGAATAATATGAATTCATCACATTTCGTGGTATCTCATTAATCGATTACAACCAAATATGTATTAAAATGTTATATTGCGGTGGAAAAGAAAACCTGCTTCTTATACTTACGCTTCTAAGGAGATGAGTTCACTGGAATAATTAATCACAGGATAAATTCCGCGTTGAAGGTAACTTACACATCAGCAGAACTGACGACACTATGGGAAACGAACTACCCTCTCAAACGAACTGAAATTGACAGGTCCTCTTTTCTCAGTAGCTCCAACTGCGTTTACCAATTTACATGTACGTGTCAAAGTACACGTATTGGAAGAAACTAGAGAAGAGTACGTGTTCGCATTTCCGAGCATGTTCCAAAGAAATTGAGACTGCGAGGAGCAAGGGCTCTTAACAGTGCAATAGCTTGGCATTTACTTGGCACTGGGCATACCACTGACATTCCTCAAGTTTTTTTAATTATTAGTTATTACATCACCCACCACTCACGTTTCTTGATTCTAACACTGAATGACCTCCAACCTGTTCTTGCACACACATACAAATAGTTATTATTGATAACCTTTGTTATTCCAAATCTCCACATTCACTTATGTCAATTGTTTCACACTATATCTTACATCAGTGTGAAATTTTAATACATATTTGGTTGTAATCGGCTGATGAGAAAGCACGAAATGTAATGAATTCATGTTATTTTGCATTATTTAAATTCATGAAGGGAACTAATTGCATGAAATTATTGATAACTGTCGACCTCCAGAAGCTTCTGGAGGTATAATAAACTCGGTAGTTGAGCAAGTAAACATCCTAACAGAGTTCGACACATAACCCGTCAATATTCTAAGCTTTTGTGACGTATGTTAATTGGAAAAATGTTCTTATTCTTTTACTGGTTCCTGAATGACTGATGAATAAGTTCTCGTAAAGATCTCAATAATTACCACTAACATTTTATTTATCATCATGCAATATTTCACTTATTACTGTCTATTCTCATTACAATGAGAAATGAAAAGTAATTATTATCCAAACTAATTAATTATGATTTAAATGGAGTTTTGTTCCTTGAGCTGGATGGTTTGGTCGTGGAGTTTGTGCTGATGATGTCGTTCAGAAGAACGATGAAGGCTACATGACCAAACCATCCAGTTTAGAGAACAAAACTCCACAAAAATCTTCTATCTGAGCTACAAATCTTCTCCACCATCTCATAATTATGATTTAAATATTTTCTCAGACTGATATTATTCTTTATAATTAGCGGCGTACACTAAAAGAACATACCTGATCTGAATAGCATTATTGTCGTGCAACTTATTTTAGATAATACACACATACTCGTATACAATGAAAAAACAACATAAAGTTGTATGAAATACTGGAGATGGCAACAGTAGGAAAAGAATTACTAGTTTCAATTCCCATAGTTAGCGATCAAAACTGAACTGGTTTAAGGATAAACGGGATAGACTCATGGGATAATAAGAAAGTGTTCTTCACATGTAGTAAATTGTCGAACGGTGATAGCTTCTACAAACCTAGTAATATCCTAATTGGCAATTCCTATCATAAAGATTTTTTAAAGTTATTTCTAAGGTCGATCATATGACCTGATAGAACTAGAAACAAATAAACAATAGAAACAATATAGGACCATCATAATAAAATTAATAGTAATAATAAAAACAATTGTTATTATTATTATTATTCAAGATGCAATAGAATAATATTTATATGCATGTAACTGGATCAATTAAATTTATAGTAGTATGAGAGTATTGTATTCATACCCATATCATTGTGTTGGTAGTATGGAACAGTAAAAGGTCATAATTTATTAATGAATAAGTCCTATACTTAAATAAGCCGTAGCTTGTCAATCGGATTAATAGAGAAGCAATGATAATGACTACAAGTTATTAATTTGTTCACTTGAGTATATCTACACTGCAAATACTAATGTACTGTCATATGCAAGTAAACGACTTGATGTAACTTATTTATCAAGTGTAGATTGGTATACGTTATATCTGCATCGCCAATTACTTATACGGCGAAAATGAGCAGCCAATTCAATTTCTACGACACCAAATAACAACACACAACACTGATACAAGTGAAGATTTATTCACCCGAAAAACACAACGACGACTCTAGTCGAAAATACACTCAATTATATACTGATTTGTACACCCATCTGATTAGTAATTAGGGAAAAGTCACATGTATGGAAACTGTTCAGAATCATAAGAAATCACATGCTGCATATCATGCTGAACATATATTACATGCGAATGAAGAATAAATGAATGGTGACTACTGGGAATTACATATGAGTTATCATTACATATATTCTTATTGGACAATTGCTAAGGGTCTAGGGCATATATATATAATTAAATGTTTGAAAAGATGGTTAAGTAATTAATTGAAATATCGTTTGAATGTACATACCGAAAATTAAACACATAGACAACAGAAATGAATAATGTACAAATCACTATGATGAATAGCGAATAGAAATTCTTTTATTCGATCCATCAATGATACAAACTTATCTGCATATGGATGTAATTTTCTGTGCATTTGTGAATATTATACACGTTTGACTGTGCATATAACAATGTTGAACTGGAGACTACATCAGTGCTATCTTTCTTGATTACTTCTATACTTAAATTAAAGTATCATTCAATTTAAAAATAGTTTTGTCTCATATTGTAAAGAACTAGGTTATACAATATTTAAGGGTAAGAAAAACAGGCAATTGAATCTTTAAAAAACTTATTTTAATGCAATCAAAAAATGTGTGTAGTGTTGCTTCTCAAAATAGGTTGAAGTTTTATATTTTACAGAATTCAATCCGTCAGTGAACATACGACTGGCAGCATTTCTTACTGAATCACGTACTAAACGTTTATTCGCTCGAACCTGTTTAGGGTGAGGTTGAGCCAGATATCTACCTATTGACTTTTTGATGTGTTTATACATAATATTTGATGCTTTCAGTCGCCTCTCCAAATCATCATCCTCTCCACCCCAACCCCAATAAACATTCGAATAACCATTAACCTGTATAAAGTGTGAAGTCGATATTTTCAAAACACCACCGATCAATGATTTGTAAGGTAAAACATAATTCCATGAACTCACTCCAACACTCAAATGAACCACACTCTCCATCGTCTCTTCATCACAACCATGTGGTATTCTATCATCCAATGGTATTAAGTCGGCATCATGAAATATAACACAGTCGAAATCGAAACGTTTACGTGCTTCAATAAAACCAATGTTCATCAACTGAGCTTTGTTCAAAATACCAGTGCCCTGTTGTTCAATAACAAATATTTGATAACACAAATGTTGTCTCTGGAGAACTGGAATCAGAGCGGACAATGTAATATTCAGTTGTATCCATCTATCTCTACAAACAATGATGATTGCTGCACCGGATTGTGGAACGCTGCTACAATTCGTCGTCTCCTCCTTAAACATCCAACCGCCACCAAGATCATGTGAATAAAATGTGTCGTTGATTGGGTTCACTTCTTTATTGAATTCACCATTGAATGGCATTTTTCCAATTGGTTTCAATGCACTCACTTTACTCGATGGAATGCTGTCAATATTCTTACAAATAGTACGACATGTTCGTTTGCAGTCAATATGTGCCATATTGGGTACAATAATTGCTTCTTCAGTGTGATTTCGTAAGATAACATATTTGACAGTTGTGCGCATAAAATATATTTGTAATATGAAAATTATACAAAGTGTTAATCCAAATGCTTTCAGAATTGCATAATAAATTCTGAGTGGTGATTTCATCTTGGAAAACATTCGATTATACATTCCTTTTGTTTATAAAACACAATGGTAACAACGGTAACAATAACAAAATTGAACGTTAAAGAGTCGAGTGCTTATTATTTAATTGACATTCTAATTGAGACATTGAACCAATGGATTTTGAGTATTATATTGACCAATTGAATTTTGACTTTTGTTTTCAATGGTTAATTGAAGTTTAAGATTATTTCTCTATCACAGAATAACATTGCAGCGAAGACCATTAAAAGTTTGAATTCAGTAAAGCGTCATTTTAACATAGATCTATACTGTCGTCTGTTCTGAACTGCCACTTCTCAACTCATTCACCAGGTGCTTGGGTGTGAGCCACCATGTAAGCGCGATGTCCAACCATAATCCTCAATCGTTTCAACAAAGTATTTAAAGAGGACTTTGAACCTGCGGTTTAGTAGCTGGAAGTCGAACGCTACGATCACTAAAATACCACTCCACAAGAGATTCAAACTCCATACTTATAACTTATTTATTCTGAGATTAACCGAAGTTGTTTCTTTGAATGGGTCTGATAGAAACTTTTGTTGGCTCAACCATTAGATCATTTGTTTGTCGGTTGTAGCGCTCTTTCGCCATTTTCTGATTATCATAGAGCCTCAGTGAATAATGGTTTTTTTGCTTTTGATCAACATGAACGTGTAGAAGTTTTTCTTTGATGAGAAAGCATCAAGTCCGCTTTCATCTTGTGATTGTACAGCTTTCATGTTCACAACCGTTATGTGAGAGACGGAAATCAAGTTAATCAGCACCAAATATTGAAACCAGTACAAACAAACAAAGTAGGTTCCTACAGGTCAAAGGTTGTAACACGTGAGGTCTTATCAAAAAGTTGAAAACATCATTTTGAGGTATCGTGGAAGGTATTCAACTTTCTGAGAAGCGCTCCAGTTATTCGCTCCTTTCAATTCTTCTCATATTGTATTTCGAAGTATATTCATTTTTTGTAAATTAGTTCTTACTAGAAACATGTTGATTGTTCTCATGATCCGAAGATATTTTCAGATGTTTGTGTTAAATAATATGCAATAATTTATTTTTGTAAAGTTCAATATAATTAAGGTTCCTTTTGAACATAAATCTCTTTCGACTGATGAAATATCTAATGAATTCCGACTAATCAGCATAGGAAAATGATATTACAATGTAGTCTAGCTTAGATCCTATCAGAGAAGCTACTGAGAACTACCTGTGAATTTGAAATTGATTTTTTTGGTTAGCTTGTCTATAGTAGTTATTTACTATGGGGTGATGTTGCGAACCCTATCCTCAACTCTTCTTCTTTATCCGGGCTTCAAGTCGGTAGTAAGCCTAAACGGGCTACAAGCGTAGTTACTAAATATCTGTTGACCAAATGCCATCAACAACAACCTACTGTGGCGAAGAGTAAACCAACTTCCAGATGAGGAGGAAATGAGAAAAAGATGCTGAAGGTGGGTAGAATATACACTGCACAAACTTGAAATTATGAAGGCGGAAGGGTAAGAGGTGGTCAGGTGGACACATTGTGCCGGGAATCGCAGTCGGATATCAAAGGAATGAATAGCACTTGGAAACAACTGTAAAAGAAAATGCGGGAGAGAAATGGTTGGCGAATCTTTGTCAGAGACCCATGCACCAGGAGGGGTAACACGCGTGATTAAGTAACCGACGAATTTGAAATGATCGAACGAAAGGTCGTTCAAGTCAAGAATCTTTACTGTCCTACTAATCATTCTCTGAATTACAGTTCCTGTTGTCGGTCACTAGTCATTTCTTCGGTTAAACGTTACCTATCATGATGTTCCATTCACTAAGTGAGTTTTGTGTTTGCGATGTTTAAAGAGTTCAGCTGAAGTTCTTGAATCTTCTTCATTACGATATTGAAAAACGAAATCGTCGGTGCGTTTTTCTATCTCTTCGATATTACTTGGATTCACTGATTTGATAGAAGTCTGGATAGTTCAAACGAACTTTTCTGTTAAACTATGAGACTAAGAGTTTCGTGAAAATGTAAATCGATAACGGCATCCAATTTGAGTAAGCCAGCTGTTAAACTTTTCCTGTGAAATCTGTATGTGGTTTCATTTTAGGCACTTAGTGCTCACTAGTGAAATCATAAGCACCTAACTCTAAAGTCGCTTATGAACCATGGCGGTGGATTGACAAATAAATTTTAAGAGCTGGTACTATATCAAGCCCATATAGGTTATTCTAACCTCTGAACAAACCAATCTATTCATCCTCTTCAAGTCACCATTTTATCTTGTCGCTTATCCGCTTATCAGGTCTGACGTTTTTTTATACGATGGTATGTGTGTTAATTATTTACCCCATTCATTGTGTCTGTATGAACAATGAGACACGCTCCAAACTCTAATGTAAATCCAGGCATCATTCATAAGTACCAAGTACTAACTCAAAAAGGGAAAATATAGCCAAATAGAAAATGAAGCGGTTGCTTTGTTATCTCCCATCCGTCGTTCTCGCAAGTTTGTGTATGGCCGAAATTTTACGCTATAAACATAACACAGTCCCCAGCATGGTTTTTCACCCTAAGTCTTGGGTACTGGCACACACTACGAACCTGATACAGAAATGTGCTCTAATGTGACTACGATATGATTTCGAAATACGATACCATGAAACGGAATGATTTTGACCGACGGATATGCTGCTCTGAATGGTAAGTGAGCACTTGACAGAAGTGCTATAATAAATAATCCCTAAGCTATCTACAAAGAATCGTGCATCAAATCACTTGTCCAGCACCATAGTTTGAGACAACGGATCGAGGCATTTCAGAGAGTCCTGCCACCGTCATATGATGGGTCACCAGACCATCCATAATGAAATGGACCTTCAGGTAAATGCTTTTTAAACCAAAGGGGAAGAGAACGGAATAAATACTACGAATTTTCGTTTATTGCCATCCTTAATGACGCAGTCCCCAATAAACTAATACCAGTGTAATCGATAGTGAATCGAATAAAAGACTACTCACTCATTCATGCTGCTGCAGAAATACCTATATATATATATATATATATATATATATATATATATATATATATATATATATATATTGTATTGTATGGACGAACCAGTTGATCAGATATTACAATTAACCACAGAAGAGAAATACTGCTAAGCCAGCTAAAACCTTAAAATACCATCGCATATCTTTAGCGTGACAAACCCAGAAAGATCAACATCTCGAGCGCCTGAGCAAGATTTACGAACACGAAGATGCGAAAAACTCTACTCAGTAGATTTTCAATAACATTTGAATCATAGTAACCACGTTTTTGTTAGAATTGTGTAATTACTTTGATTTATCAAAACAAGAGCCCTACATAACCATTAGTAAGTAGAATTACCGCCGAAATAATTGATATTTGGTTTATTGCGATGACTTCTACATATTTGGCTGAAAATAAACAACACAGCTGTATGTACCTGCATCTCAGAGTTGATGTTCACTCCAGGACTCGAACAGAGTGCCATTTGCTTCAAACGTCATAGCCTTATCCACTTGGCTACTGAGTCCTGATAGCCACCTCCTTGTGCGATGAGGCAAAGTTTGAATTCTTGTGGTATTGTTTAACTGAATCTTCCCGGTATACGTAGTTTCAGAAAGACTGTTTCCGTATTCGTAGTCGTTGGTAACATTCAACTTTCCACCGGTCAGTGAGTCGAGATGATTTAGATAGAATAGGGGTTCCAACACAGGCGAGCTGCTGCATATGATAAAAAATAAAATACGTAAAATGGAAATAAATGGGAACAAATAAGACATAGCATAAAATAAATAAAAATGAATGTTATTAAACGATTGTGAGTGAGATTTTTCTGAATGTGAGTTGACGCAAAAATAATTTTTCCTGTAGTAATCAAAACAAAAGAAGGGATAAGGAAAAAGCTAGAAAAATCTTGCTGCAATAATAATAATCTCATTTCCTTCCCAGTCAATCCTGATAAATATGTCACTAATTTGTCCTCCATTGTGTTGTCTGTTCATGAAAAGGAGGCATTGTCCTTGGGTTTAAAATTTTCTGTTCCTATAACACAAATCTCTGAATTGACAGTCAATGCCCAATTTGGAAACCTCTATGATCAATTGAGTACTTTAACCCCTTCGTCCTTAGAGAATCAAAGTTGGTTTAAAGCCAAACTAGTGGATATAGCGCATCATTAACATTCTTCTGGATCAAAGCTGTGAAGCATATTAACTTCTCAGCACTTCAAATCATTAAAAGAATTGAGAAATAATGCCGACATTATTATACTTAAACCCGATAAAGGATCTGGTGTTGTTATTATGAATAAGTCAGATTACAAAAATAAAATGGAATCCATTCTCAGTGATAAAAGCAAATTTTTGGCTGATGTTGACTTTGATGGATTACGTAAATTAGAAAAGAAAGTAAACTCGAATCTTGTGAGATTGTTAAACATGAATGCTATTAACAAAGATGAGTTTAATTTATTAAAACCTATGGGTTCGGCATATCCTAATTTATATGGATTACTGAAAATTCATAAGCCTAATACCCCCCTACGTCCAATTATATCTATGTGTCGGTCACCTACACACAACCTGGCAAAATGGCTTACAAAATTATTAAACCCTATCAGAAATCAATATTGTAAGTATTCTTTGACTGACTCATTCGAATTAATTAATTACTTAAAGGATATAAATATAAAGACAAAGGCAATGTGCTCCTTTGATGTAAACACTTTATTTACTAATGTATCTCTTAGGAAAACCATTGATATTTTGTGTGACTTTATTTCTTCGAAAAACCTTCCACTGCCTTTTCCTGTTAAAACTCTTAAAGATTTATTATTATTATGTACAGATAATGTAAAATTCACATTTGAAGGTAAACACTTCAGACAAATAGATGGTGTGGCTATGGGCAGACCTCTAGGACCATTGCTGGCCGATGTGTTCATGGGATACGTAGAAAATTTAGTTGGAG